GTCAGCATTCCTCATGGTTAAGTCCTGCTTCCTTCCCGCTAGCTGTATTGTATCACGACCTTTAAGTAGTACACACTGAGAATGGAGGTCTGCTGACCTAAACCTGTCATCATTCCTCATGGTTAAGTCCTGCTTCCTTCCCGTCCTCTGGACACCTCTTCTCCCTTGATAGTATCATATAAGCCTATAACTTTGAAAAAAAAGTAAGTATACTGACAACTTCTAAATGCTTACCTTTAGCACCCTATTGTATCACGACCTTTAAGTAGTACACACTGAGAATGGAGGTCTGCTGACCTAAACCTGTCATCATTCCTCATGGTTAAGTCCTGCTTCCTTCCCGTCCTCTGGACACCTCTTCTCCCTTGATAGTATCATATAAGCCTATAACTTTGAAAAAAAAGTAAGTATACTGACAACTTCTAAATGCTTACCTTTAGCACCCTTCTGAGAATTACACAGGCATCCCAAAGTCAACACATCCAAAATGGTAGGGACTTCTCAGGTTCTGTATGAAATTTGGTCTTCCTTCACTTTTAGTCATCTAAGAAAACATCCCATCGTTCTCTAGTTGCTCTTCTATAAATCTCAGAGTCATCCGTGAGTCCTCCTTTGCCCTGGCTCCTTACTTCATTGGTGTTAATACAGCTAGTGAGTCTACTCTAAATTCTGTCTCAAATCCATCTTCAATCACCTCCATAGATCAAGCTGCCGTTCTTTCTCCTCTGGATCCCTCCAAGAACCACTCCTAAACCCTGCTTCCATTCTTCATCTCTCACATTCTACATAACAACCAGCTCTTGAGAAGGTGAATGAAGTCATGTCACTCCCATGTTTAAATCTTCAGGGGCTTCTTTTTACTTTTAATTAAAACCCAAACCCCTGTCCTAGGTTGGTAGGCCCTGTACCACTTGGCCACTTTCTGAATGGTTCCCTGTCAGAGACTATAACTAACTGACACTAGGTGCTCAATTAACTACTTTGTGCATGAAATAATTATCCTTTTGCAAATAAGATATATTTCGAGTTTGTGATGTAGACCAATCATTTTGAGCCAGGACACAGGAGAAGGGAAGTGAAACTTCAATGAATGGGTTGATAGTGCTGTGAACCTCAGTATAATAGATATGGAGGTGCCACCAAATGAGCCCCCAGAAGGCAAACCCAAAACCCAGCTTACCACCCTGACTAGAAAATGCTTTTGTTATTTGTAGTGAGATGACTGTGAAGGTGGGAGAGGTAATTAGGAGTGAAATTGGAGTGAGAAATGATGTACGACCACTTGCAATCGCTTCCTCTGTGGGCTGCCAACACCTGGTGCTGTTCACAAGGACAAGGAAAACTCCTAGGATTCCATAGTCCAGATACCAACGCCATTGTGGTAAGGTTTTGTTTTGTTTTGCCAGAGGGCATGTGTGCTCACCAAAGACAGAGAGAGGGAGACTAGAGAGCACTCCCCAGGGAGAATGGTCACACCGTAATCCCTTCTCCTCCATCTCTCTCTCCTTTTGGGATTTTGGGCACGCACGCACACGTCCCTGGTGTGTTTCCCAAGCTGCTGGGTTCAGAACTTGAGCTATGTGGTTGGCCACGTTGGATCCAGTTGCCTTATCCACCAGGCCATGAACAAGTTTTTGCTTTTTAAGTTTACTTATTTATTTTTCCCATGAGAGAAAGATACAGACAGACAGACAGAGACTGTCACCAACCTCCCCCCCCACACACACACACACAGGGTCCCCCTGCCATGATCCACCCATCAATCATGCCTGTGTACTTGATACATCAGAGAGGTCCCAGGACATCAATCAGGACTTTTCCCACATGAGTCCAGGTATATTCCAACTGCACTACTGTGTGGCTCCCTATTGTGGTAGGCTTAATATATGGTTTGTTTATTTATTTATTTACTTATTTATTTTTGGAGAGGTTTTTTGCTATAGGGCACATGCACTCACCAGAAAGACAGAGACAGAGAGACAGAAAGAGAGAAATCACTCCCCAGGGCGGATGGCCATGCCGCAATCCCTTCTCCTCCATTATCCTCTTGGGATCTTGGACACACACACACACACACACACGTGCCTGGCCTGAGTTTAAGCCACCAGGTCTGGGCCTTGAACTGTGGTCAACTACATGGGAGTCCAGCGACATAGCCATTATGCTATCTACTGGTCCCAATATATGTTTTATCTAAGTTTTAATTATCTGTGTGTGTATGTGTGACAGTTTGATACACTGACCACAAATTCTTCGATACTCCACCCATTGGGAGGTGCTGTCTATGTCCTTTTCCTTTGAATCTAGGTGGTCCACTCAGCCTCAGTCAATAGCATATAGTAGAAGTGACACTGTGTGACTTCTGAGGCCAGATGGGGACTAGCAAGGCAGCTTCTACCTTGTTTGCCAAGATTTTCATGCATGGTAACCTGAGCCATCACGTAAGAAGTTGGTAAGAAATGGGGGGGAGGGAACATACATATATATATCAAATATATATATACACAAATATATATATGAAACTAGAAGTGGAAAATTATTGACAATAACATGTATGATTAAGCTACTATGCAGCATATTCTGGATGGGAAATCACATTTTGAATGCTGTTACAATGCTCAGTAAATGAATTAAATTAATTAATTTAAAACAAAATTTAAATAATAATAAATAAATAAAATGGTACACATTAAAAAAAAAAAAAGTCATCTAAGCTGAGCCTGCCACACTGTGAGGAAGCCAGGCCACATGGAGACACCATATGGAGACACACCTGATCTGCAAGTCCTCCCAGCCCAGCTTCCTCCCAAGCAAGTGAAGGAGGCTTCAGATGCTTCCAGCCCCCAGCTATCAAGGCACCTCCAGACTTTGAGTATTCCCGACTGAGACCCCAGAGATCAAGGAGCAGAGTCAAGTCCCCACTGTGCCTGTCTGCTCCCAGGCCTTCGCAATCTCTTAACATTATGGATGTTTCAAGCCACTAGATTCTGGGGTTGTTGCCATAGCAATAAAGCCCAGAATAGGCTATAAGGCAACTCCCTTTGGTTTCCTAATATCCCCCCAAGAAATCCCCTGCCTGTAGAGACTTCCTGGTGGGGGCTGAGCAGTCAGCCAGCAGACACACCATCTATTTTTTTTTTTTTTTTTGAGAGGTTTTCCCTATAGGGCACGTGCGCTCGCCAGACAGACAGAGAGAGACATAAAGACAGAAAGCGAGAAATCACCCCCCAGGGGGGATGGTCATGCCGCAATCCCTTCTCCTCCATTCTCCTCTCAGGATCTTGGGCATGCACGCACACGCGCCCGGCGTGAGTTTTAAGCCACCGGATCCGGGACGCGAACCGCGGTCGACTACGTGGGAATCCAGCGACATAGCCATTACACTAACTGCTGGTTCCCCAGACACATCATCTTTTGAGAAAAAGTTAGGTTCAAGTACCTCCTAAGCAAACAGACTCACCTCTGCCAGGAGGAAGCCAGCCCCTTGCTTCATCTGATCTGGTCGCCCACTTCCAACGCAGCTTGGCTCTCCTCCCAGGCACCCAGGAGTCTCTGAGAGACTCAAAGAGATGCCTCACTGCCCTGGGTTCACCCGAGGAGAAGCCCTCTCCGAGGAAAGACCATAAGATTCTGAAAGCGCCATCAGCCTAAGCATTATATAAAACAACCACAGGACTGCTGCCTAATGCCCGTTTCTAACTGGCACTGGTCCAGAGGCCCTGTTTTACTGAATCATCTCCATCCATTGGCCATGCTTTCCAGTCCTTTCATTTTCCTTTCCCGGCAGAACTTTCAGTCCCACATTCACATAAACGTCACCCCTGCTGCTGTTTCTTATCGGCCCTACTCTGTACAAGTGCCCTGCCTTCTCCCTCCCTCACCTCCTGTCCCTTCCCATTTGAGGGATCAGTCCTGTGATTCATATATTTAATCCAAATCCTGTTTCCAATGGGTGCGTCCACAGTCTTTTTATTTATTCATTTATTTTGAGAGGTTTTTGGTATAGGGTGCATGCGCTCACCAGAAAGATAGAGACAGAGAGACAGAAAGTGAGAAATCACCCCCCCCCAAAAGCAAAGCAGGGATGGTCACGTGCCTGGCATGAGTTTAAGCTACCAGGTCAACAGTTAACCGCAGTCAACTACATGGGAGTCCAGCGACATAGCCGTTACGCCACATTCGTAGACCTCTTTTCTTATTTGCTTCCTAAGCCTCTCACCACAAAGAGAGGACTAGATGTTTTCCCCAGGACAGTCTTGGTTTTACACCCCTCTCAAAATGCCCCAGTTTGAGTAATAATTTAGATGGTCCTCCTAATTCCTATCTATAATTTCGTCCCTGCCCCTCCTTTAAAGGAGACAGCCCCTTGGATTTCTTGGCATAAATGAGCAAGAACACAACATTCTGCTTCATAGAATATCTCATGTGATATGCACAGTGGCCTTGTTTTATAGGTAGTGCATTTTTCTCATTTGGCAATATTGTCTAAATCAGCTCTTTTGTATATATTAAGGGGACAGAAAGTGAATAACTCAAGGAGCAGGTGATAGCCAATGCCGTTTAAGGCCTTGCATTTATGTGAAAAGCTGTATGTGAAAATACATAAATACTGGGTTCAATCTGGAGCGAGCAAAAATATTTTCCTCTTTAGAAATTTCTAGTTACCCAAGTTCCAAGCGATTGCTTTCTCATTCCCTAATCTTTTGTTTTCTGGAGTTTTCCGTTATGCAACGGGTTAAGTTAGGGCTTTGGACCGAATTTCCCGTTAAAGATAATTTTTAAGTCAATGAGCAACGCCAGAAAACTGTAGCATCTAAAGGCTTCAATTGATGTGTTCCCATCGAATCTCAACGCGTCTGACCTGTGACTCACTCCCGCCTGCTTGCAAGCGCTGCACCCTTTAACGTAACCCCGCGGGCCCGCAGCCAGGTACACTGGAGTGTACGCGAGGCCGCGCTGTAATTGGTTCGCGCTGCGACCTCAGTCCGCGAAAGCCACCGCCTCCTTTCCCCGCCCCCTGCCCCTCCTCCCGGGTCCCCCGCGTCGCCAGCCCTCCGCGCCAGTCACTGACAGCTGCGACGCTGCGAGCTTCAGCTCCTCTGCTCTCTACCGAACAGGTAAACACGCAGCGGGGGACAGAGCAGGGGAAGGGAGAACTGAGAACTGGGGTGCGGAAGGCAGGCGCGGAGGCCGAGTGACTACCCCAGGCCCAGGGGGAGGCACGAGGGCACCGGGCGGGTGGGCTCCGGAACTGGGCAGCGGCTGGGCCCCCGGACGGCGCGGGCGCGCGCGCATCTCGGGCCCGCCCGGCGGGCCTCATCTCTTTCTGATGACGCTGCCTGGCTTTGCTTTTCTGCTTAGTAAAGCCCCTTTGATCTAAGCGGGGGTGGGGGCCTGGCGGAGCCCCTCCGCAGGACGTCGCTGGTGTGAAGATGACCAGCCGCGGCCCCCTCCCGCATGGGTACAGGATGGGCGAGGCAGGCTGCCACATGGGCCGCAGGTCTCAGAAAGTGCGGGCGATCCCAGGTGCCCTGGGACCCCGAGGCCCAAAAACGGATTCTGCTAGGGCGCTGGGCAAAGAGAAACGAGGAGGGGCGCCTGGGGACCGCGGGACTCCCCGCTGTCCGCCAGCTGGCCGCCCTCTGAAGTCGGCCCTCCGGCGGTGAGGGCGCGGTCGG